GCCTACTCAGGGAAAAAATTAAGAAATTCCTGAATTCAGCTGGCATGTGTAGACCTGATAATTTGTAAGTGATATACTAAACCCTTTTTTTCTGGGTTTTAATTGAGAGCAAAGCAAATATGATTGCTTCAATAGAGATGACCAAAAGGGGGATGGGGAAATAGCCATTTGGCAAGTGTAACTTGTGCCTTGGGAACCTGTCTGTCTTGTCAGCTGTGATCAGAGCTCTGAGATGTCTGGCTGTCTCTGATAGAGATCACTTTCAACAAAGACCCAGACAGCTTTGCTCAGTTGTGACTAAAAAGAAGGGTTTTAGTTTGTTTGTTTTCTTCTTGCAGCTTTATAACTCATGCCTTTGTCACCTTGAGACTGGCCTATGATAATATGTTATCTTGGAAGTCTTTTATGTTTGTTAAAAATTACCATTTTAGCAGTTGAATGTTGTCAGTGTCAGCTAATTTATTTTATTGGAAGTATCTTAGTCAGATGGCATCATCCATTTAAATCTTAAACAGCCATGCATGGCTTGGGACTTGACAGTCTATCATCTCTGCCCAGCTAGTCCTGCCCTTCTGCCTCATGTTTGAAACTAGTGTAAAATCCTATTTCCAGCTCTTACAAGAAACATTGGAAACATTCCTTGATGTGAAAGAGGGGGAACAGCTGGTAAGTGAGCATGGGAGGCATTTCTAGAGATGAGATTCCCTGTTCAAAATACACTTTCTTCGTGCTGGAGCAAACTGGAGTAGTGGTACACTCAGTATTGGATAGAGTGCATTTTGCTGCAGACATAATTGTGGTTGCATGGTTGACGCTGTTCGCCCTAATAAATGCATAAAGTTTTGTTATGCATCTATAATGCGAGGAAAGATTGAAATAGTAATCTTTGTAGATCTCGCTTTCCCTGAGGCCTTCCTTAATTTACTGCGTCTGCTTTAAAAAAAAAAAAAAACTGAAGACGTTAGGAAGGAAGAAGATCGTCTTGGCTTGGACATCTGTTGTTTCGTTTAAAGGAAAAAAGGGTGAGGGGAGCATTATAATCTTGGGAACATGTTGGCTTACTATGAAATACTGTATCCTAGAAACAATGGGAAAAGTTCAAAAAATTCATTAGTTAAGTGTATTTTTTTTCTCATGGATGTGTCTTGGATTTCTGAGGTGAACAAACTGACTAGGTCTTTCTTCTGCTTTTCCTAGAACATGTTTTGGTTTGGATTCTGGAAAAGGAGAGCAGTTGTGTGGCACAGAACTCTAACCATGCAGCTCTGTGATAAACACTTCATGTAGTCACTGTTTTTTTCTCTTCCCGTATTGGTCCTCTTCAATGCACTGAGATTTTTCGTGCAAAGGATAGTTATTACTGATGGTCCAGTCATGTACTTTATTTTTTTTTTAACCGCTCCCTCTTACCAATCCTTTCTCTGAATTCCTTTTCTCTTCTGGTTCTCATGCTCTCTGAGCATGTGGCGATATTGGAAACCTTGACATTTATCTGTTACCCTAGTTTTTTTGATACATGCAAACCGCGTCCTTTCACACGTGCTTCATGTTTTCTGCTTGTCATTTCATGTTGCACACAAGTCCAGTCAGCTGTAACTGCTTAACAAAAATACGTGTGTTAATACAAAGCTAGAAAGAAAGTGCTTACATTGCTGGAGTTAGTTGCTAGAAGGCCTTCATAGAAGTTGCAGAAGATAGGATGTGTTACTGTAGAATTTGCTGAAATAACTAAATCTTTTAAATATTTTAAGGACTGACAAACTTGTCAAATTTTGGATGGCACGTGACTGGTACTCCATAATAGGAGACACCTCTGCAACAAAGTAAGAGGGGTAATGAGGGAGAAATGTAGATACACTTTGCCTTAATCATCTTTACATTTATCTAGTGTTTCAGTGCTCCCTCCTTGCCTTCCTGAATCAAACTTCTGAATTGTGTACGTTAGTTCTGTTACTTCATGTCTTTCCAACAAGAAACATTATGATAACAATTTTTTTTTCTAATGATTTGTTAGCAACATTAGACATCTGTTAAAAATGTTGAGAGGCCAGAGGCCAAACACATTATTTTCTTTGAACACTGCAACAAGCATTTGCCAGTATATGAAAAAACTTCTTGTTCAACCTCTATCATTTTTAGAGCAACCTTCAATCATTTTATAATATTTGATTTAGTATTACAATTCAGGGTTATATTCCTTTGCAGAATAATATATGGAGGGCAGTCTTGCAGAGCTCAAAGTTAGGAAAACAATCTTTCTAGTGGTAAACTGAGCAAATTTATTTTTAAAGACAAACAGAATTGCTGATGCAATCTTCCTGTCGGTTTCAGACGAGTTTCATTTTACATTAAATCCTAAAGCATGGAAGCTGGACAGAGTTGGGCAAAATTTGTTTTGTTCTTTTCATTTTTGTGATTAAGGGGCAAATAACGTCTGAGTCTTGGATATCTGCATGTTGCTGTTTTTCTATGGGACAGTTGAAAAAGGGTAGGAACTGGTCAAAGTATAGGTATTTAATTGAGAATGCTCCATAGGGATGACACATTTAAGCTGACCTGTTTAATTCCAGAAAGATACAGTTCAGGTTTCATTAATGGATTCATAAATTATGCTAAATAAAATCGGTATCTTTGACTGTAAAAAATAACAAAATTCCTGAAACATTATATAATTGAATATCTATCTATCTATCTATCTATCTAGATGTTTGGGCTTTTTACTAGTAAAACATAAAAGAAAAAGCATTGGTTGGACCCTAGATCTTTGTTTTAAATTTATATCCAAAAGAAAACCAACGAAGAGACTTTCAGATTGATTGAGTATGAAATGAAACACAATAAAACTCAAACACACTTGCATTAAGTTGGGCAGCAAAATGAAAAAAAATGTTATTTTAATACATGTATGTCAGTGTGATATTGCCAGGGAGGAATGGGAATGTTGAGTAGACAAGTGTTGTGGAGCCCAAACGAAGTTTTTCCAATGTATTTGAAATAGCTAAAAACCATATTGTAATCTTTATGCCATTTTTTTAGGTGTGATTATTAACCATTCATGATGTTTTTGCAAGTGTCCACAGTATTTCTTAGACAAAAAATACATCATTTTAATTGCTTGTTAATGTTTAACAAGTATTATAGAAAATTTATTTTCTGATAGTCAATTCCCAGTTTATCCTTTTATATGTTAGCACATACTTGGAAAATTTTATGTAATTGGGTGCATTAAACATGTTTCTTAGTATTTATAAACACCCCCACCAAAGACATACAGTTGTAAAATGCAGACTGTTCATAGAGTTTCTTCAGGATGTGCACAATTGGCTAGAAGTGACAGCAATTTCAAAACAAGTACTATGGCTAAATATAGGCTATTACATTCTATTTCCAAATACTGTAAGAAGCATTACTTGGTGTTTGAAGTCCTCCTTTGTTTGCTGAAGAATCATTTGTGGATGGTATGACTTCTGTGAGTCCTCTCAAGACTTGACTAAACTGCACACCAAAATAAGCTTGCAGTCATTATTAATGCCGTCACATAAAGATTCTCTAGCTTTTGGACCAAATTTAGAACAAATATTTGAAAGGGTAAACAACATTAATTACTTTACTATGTCATTTTTTGCATACAAAATACCCCATGAAAAAGTCTTGCTCAAAAATAAGAAGATTGAGTAACTGAGGCTTTCCTATGCAAGGTTAATTCAGTCAGTGTGTTTGCATTTCATGAACACATCCTTTTTTATTCTGTAAACTCTTGTCTTTTTTAATGTATAGATTGAATAGGAATCACTAAGCAGCTGCTCAGTATTTTGTCTTCTTACTGTTCGGGGTGTGATTTTCAATCTGACTTAACTGCATACTGTTCAAACCATTCTCTGAAAATATATGCTTCTATGCATGTTTTTCTGTTTTGCTCATCACTATAGTAAATAAAGGACTTTAAGGTCACTAATTTGTCTTCTTCCCTCTCTGTGAGGAAGGGCATGTTTTAATCCTTGTTCAGCTGATGGGAAGCTGAGATACATTTGTACAGGCAATTTTTAATTCTTGTATGCTTTGTTTTACAACTATATGAATTAGTTTTATGTTAGGAAAAGTGGGCACATGACAAGTGTTGTAAGAAAAGAGTCAACCTGTCTCAAATTCCTTTATCTCTGTTACCATCTTTTCCCTTTTCTTCCGTTTTCCCTTTCTGTGTATGAAAGGTATCTTGGTACCTTAGCAGAGACCTTTGGTCGTGGTTGGAAAATAGGAAAGCTTGATTTTACAAAAGTGCTAGAATTTAGTTTTGGGTTCCTCCCTTTTAAATAGAATTTTTAGGAATTTTACTAAATACAGACAATAAATAAGTCAGCTCTATACAAGAACTAAAGGTTAACTTGAAAGCAAATTCTACTTTTCTCTCAGATGATCAAAAAATAGAAATAATTAAAAATGTACATAATTTTCAAACCTGAATTGCAGCTAAATGGAACACAAACCTCAGAATATCTGAGCTTTGTTTTATTGTATAAGCCATGAATTTTGTCAGGGATTAAATGTGACAAAAGTAGATTCTTACAATCCTTCTTTTAAGTCCACTCCAATGTATATATATTGTATTGTGGTATATTTTGTAACTAGAAGACTGCTTAGGGGAATGTTGAGAACTGCCTTAAAATGTATTTTTACCTTAATCAGGCATAACTAACTTTTATTCAGTGCTAGTGGGAGTTTTCCAAGAGCGCTGATGCTATGTAAGTGTGGACTATATAATTAAACCTATGAAAAAGTCAAATTTTGCATTCAAGCTCTTATTATGAAAGCTTATTCTGAAGCATATGTAGCATTTTTAAAAGGCTGTAGAGATATTTAGCTTCTGTAGCAGCTAAAAAGCGCAGGGTTTTCTGTTTAAATTCAAGAATATCAGCAGAGTACACAAAATGCTATAAGGAGTTGTTTGTCTCATCTTGAAATATGCAAGTTTTCTAATGTTTGGGGTTTTTTTTGATAAACAGGTACACACAAAGTTCCATTGCAGGCAAGCCCATACTCCAGGCACTGACACTTCATGCTTGACATTTTCCTATGATGGTACTGTCCTGGCCAGCCGGGGAGGTAGGTGATTGAACGAACCCTTTGATGTGTTGAATGTGAAATGGTTCAGTAAACAAACCATTTAAATGGTATTATCCTTAAATGTGATTGTTTGTGATGGAAGTGAGATAGTGCAATCAGATCTAGGGTTTTAAACCTGAGGTGTTTCACAGTTCACGTCTTTTATTTTGATACACTAGGCAATACTGCGTTCCTGAAAGCACATTTTACAGCAGCTGAGGAGCATTTTGAGAACTTTGCTGTTTACATTAGGCAGTTTCTTATCTCTCTTCTTGTCTAGCATTAGTAATACAACAAAAGGAAATTATTGGCTTAATTAAAAATAAAATTAGACCAGTTTTGGTTTTTAGTTCTTTCCTGGAAAATTACTGCCTCTCAAAAACAGTACCTCTGTTCTGGAGTTATTAATTTCTTGAGCAGCTTTCTTATGTAATGTCCTTTTCTGTTCTAGTTGGAATTTTAATCTAATTTATATCACAAGCATCGAGAAGTGATGACTGGAAGTGAGTGGCCAAGATGTTCTTGAATGGCAAAAAAAATTTGAAATGTCTGCAGGACAAAAACACTTATGTTTTTAAACTTCAAATAATACTTTCATTAAAAAGTCTTAGATAATGGAACAAGTCTTGAGAAAGAAAATATATATTTGAAGACTCATTCACTTGAATAGAATATTCAGTGTGTTGGATAGGATGGTGTCTGCCTAAGACAGCTTTTCATACAGAGATTTGTCCACCCATGATTTTGCAGGCAGGTGCAAGCCTACCATCTGAGCTGTCTGGATGGAAACCAGCTGTAACCAGAAGCTATGTGTATGCATTAGCATGGCCCCAAGGCCAAATAAACAGGCCTAGGGAGTGGCAGTGTGTGTTAATGTCAGCCAACACTGTGCCTAGCATATGTGCAGGACATCTGGTCAGACTAGTATATAGACAGAATGAGATTACATATACAAAATAACAGAACAGAGGTATTCATAGATGGCAAAACCAGTGTAACAGGGAATGTTCTTCCAAGACAAGAGCTGTAGCTTGCAATTGCTTTACATTCTCCCCCTTCCTCTGCCCCTGATGACTAGAGTGATGTAGAGTGACATTGGTGGCTTTTACAGTGATAAGCAGTTGGTGTTGGATGCTACCTCTCTGACTTCTTTGTATGTCTTGCCCTGTTTCTAACATTCCAAATGTATGTTCCCCAGATCCCATCTTTCAAGGTAAGATTATGGTAGTCTTGTCCTTGACAGCCGTAGGCTTAGTAGGGCATGCTAATGGCACTTGGCTTGTTTCTTAATTGCTGTTCAGGCTTCTGGATCTAGACCTCTACTGCCACTGTACTTACTATGAATGAGTCCGAAGTGGTTGAGGTAAAAACTCTCAACTTTGCTGGTCCTTAGTGAACCAGACACTTATCTGTGAGAATGTTCTCCTTGGAAAGTAGGTGAACCATCTGTCTTTCCATTCTGGATGAAGAGAAATGCTGTATCTGTCAGTCAGTGGTGTTGCCCCCCAAAAATTCACACAGCTATACTTCGTAAGTTTTAAAGAGAAACCTCAGTGTGCTTTTACATATTAACAGCAAACAAGGCTAATACTTAGGTGAGGAATATTCATTAGTGCTGTCTTGACTCCACTTATGTAAATTACCCTGTGTTTCACATTTATGAATGTCGATCACGTAGATCACCTTTGCTTATTTTTATTGAATGTGGTACATTTAGTTGTCTGCTTTTTGTCATCTGTCTCCAGATTTTGTGTCATGTTAAACAGACCTTCACTTATATTTTAGCTACCACACTCTGCTCTAAGCTATATAAAATGTTGATTGATTGTTTGCAGAATGTAAGACTCTGGGAATTTGGCCCTTCTGTGTGAATAGAAGTGCTACCTTTGTCTAACATCTTTAAAAAAAGCTCTCTCTGTGCTGTGCTAGAGAACAAGGAGGATTCATGCCTTATTTTGACTTGTTTGGTTAGTGTTTTAATGTGAGTATTGCTTTGGATCTGTACCAACAAAAGCAGATGTGGATCCAACATTCTTAAATTAACACACCTGCCAAGTGCTGAGGATCAAAGAGAGGATAGTTTTCGGGGCATGGGGACTTTCATTGAAAACCTGATTGATTCTCTTGCATCTGATGTAGATTCTATGTTGGATATGAGAGAGATGAGACAGAGCTCAGCTGCAAGCACAAGGGAAAATGAAAAGCTAAGGAGCTGCTTATGAGAGTTCCTAGTTTTACTCTTGTTGGGTATTTGGTAGTAACTTGATAGAAATGTAAGAAAGTGATATTTGTGTACCCTTGTAACCATGAAAGTAATTTTTTCTGAATACAGTGAAGAGAGTATTTGGGGAACATTTTCTTTGTTTAGTAGTGAAGAGGTAAGTATTAGGACTGAATTTGGGTTCCTAATATAAAAATTTAAAAAACCTTTTTTGACTCCTGGTATTTACAGAATTTATGGCATTAGTTTTTGTCATAATATGAAGCAATGACTTCACTAATTCCATGAATCTCATGATACATGTTAGTTTGATGGTTCATTTATTTTCTGTGGTATGAACAGTGTGCAGACTCAGTGCCATCTTAACCAGAAAACTTATATAGGAAAAATATTCACATCTAAGCCTGTCAGCTTATGCAGATACATGCTTTCTTTAGAGCTCAAAAATAATATATATATATATATATATATATATATATATATATATTTAGTTTTAGATGTCTTTCTCTTTTCAGTTTTCTTAAGGAAAATTAGAATATTTAATTTTGAATTTGGTTTAAAAACTAGAACCACCTTGAGTACAGTTTCCTGTATATTCAAAGATTATGCAGTGATATGTACAGTGACTTTCTATTTTGTGTAGAGTAATAGTACATTGCTCCTTATGGTAAATACAGGAATTAGCATTTTAAAAATCAAATGGTTTTACATCAAGTAGTATTTTTTGGGACCTGAATGCTGATGTTCACTTCAAACAATGCCAAAAATGCATTCATTAGCTTTAAAAGCCATAGTTAACTATTTGTAATACTTGGAGCTGAAATTACTTTCTCAAAGTCTTCCAGTGTCCTTCACTTCCATGTTTAGAGAAGATGATGCACTTAAATATTTGGCCAGGCTGATATGGGTGCAGGTGATGGTGAGAGCTGTTCCAAGTGTAAGCATACCCAATTTGTGTCTTCCCTCCCAAGGCCTTTGGCTCAGGGCGAGCATGATGCAGACCTGTGGCATCTCCGACAGTCTTCAGCTCTTGCAGCTCCTCTTGCAGAACTGGTACAGAATGCAGAAGCATGTATCTTGTTCTGTAAGGTGCCTCTCCTCACAGACAGGCTCTGAGTTTATAAACACATTCTAGTGCTTTTTCAGAGTAAGCCTTGTTATGCTATGTCTTTCCTGTGTATTTTCTTTTTAAAATTCTCATTTTCTAAGTTTCTTTGCTTTCCCCTATAATCTTTGATTTTCTGTCCTTGAGCTTTGCTTTCAACGTGAGACTCCCTCTTTAAAACAGGAGCTTCTAGAATGGTGTTGCTGACTTCAGGCTTTTTGAGTTTCTGGCAGCACTTTGCTTCTTTTGGGCACATTTGCATCCATGTACTTGTCTTCCTGGTCAGGATCTTCTGAAACTAAAAAAAAAAATTAGATAAAATCTTTATAGTATCAGGACATTGGCCTTATTTTGAGTAAAAGTCATTTGCAAAGTGCGTATCCTGGCTCACGAAAGACAATTTTTCTAGGTCAAAATTGTTACCTCTTGATAAATCCAGTGCTTAATGTGCACATAATGGTGTCTGACCTGATCATACCAGGCTACAGCCTGTTTGCTGATGTCTTTCACATTAAAATGGGCAAAGAATAGAGTCTGAAATGCTACTAAAACCGCTATAAAATCTTTAAATACTCTGCCAACTTTGGAGAAGTCTGCCATTAAGACAAATACTGAATGATTTGGGTGGACTGTTTTGAATGTTTCATACTGAACTGCACAACTTCTGTTCCACTGTTTTTGCTTAAGGGTAACTATTTTTGCCCATGTATGAAGTAATTAAAAATAGATCAGTATTGCTACAGCTCTTGTAAAGAAACCCCTTATGCACCAGTGGAAGGATGCTACTGGAAAAAAAATCCTTGGTGTTGTGCAAAGTTAATATGTCTGTTTCCTTAGTGACAGTGATTTCAACTTCAAATGCAGATTAGATTCAGGAACAAATATTGTATTTGCCACACATAAAATTTTAATTAGAAAAAGTTAATTTGGGCAAATTCTTAAAGATGGCAAGAGTTTCATGGCATTAGCCAAGTCATTCTAGTAGCCTTTCCAAATACTTAATCATCTATTTCTGCACAGTGTTGCAGAAATCAGTAAGACAGTGTTGATTTGAAATCAACCTTGACTTTTTGAGTCCTTCTAGAGTCTTCTAATGTTTTAAACCAGCAAATTACATTTTCTCGTTAGTGGAAGAGATACAGCTAAATGCCTGACTGTGTGTCTCCTGCTAAAGCCTGGCAGGACTACAGCTTGAAGATCATGTCAAGGCTTATTCTACTGGGAACAGAACAGCCTTGGCTGCTAGCCTTAGATCTGTCCCTATCCAGGAGATTTGCAGAGTGGCCAAATGGTATCCTTTGCATACATTTATAAAGTGCCAATGCTTTACATATAACATCTCACTGATAAGTGTTTTTTGTTGGGAGTGGAAGAAAAAAGGGAGGGTTTTTGTATTACAAGACCAAATGCTTTGAAGTGCTGGGGATGCAGTCTACTGGGAAACAATAAGAAAACAGATAGTTCCAAAATTGTGTTTCCACATTTTTCTTTTTTGTCATTTTTTAGCTTCCCAATGAACAGAAATAGACTTTGCTCTAGACGTCATTTATTTAAGTTGTCCACTTCTTTAAAATATTTTGCAGTAAGGAGTTATCCTAGTCCTTAATATAAACATACATGATGTACGAGGCCACACATTACTGCTTTCCCTGTAAAGAATATTGCTGGCCTTGATTTCTTTTGTTACAGAATGTTGGGGTTTTTTTAACAGTTTTTTTTCCAAGGCCTCCTTTAAGCTCTTGATCTCAAAGGCTGTGAATCTACAAAATATTTTTAGACAACAAAATTACTGCCCTGCAAGGTTTGTGCTTTGAAAGGAAGCAGGTCTGTGGATTACCAGTCACTTGCCTCCTTTTCTTCGTAGACCAGTAAGATTTTGTTACTTTGAAAGTCCTTCTTTTCACCCTTGAGGGTGCTGAAGCACTCATGTCAAATACAAGTTGTCTAGGTGCCTGAGTGAGGTGCTTCAAAGCTCAAATTCTGTAGCTCATCTCATGCTAGAAATATGTATCCCAGAGGGGTGATCAGCAGAGATGTAGATAGATTTCTCTGAGAATAACTAATTAATTTATCTTCTTTTCTTTTTTTTTTTCTTTTTTCCCCCTGGTTCTCACTTTGTTAGTGTGTCATAACTTTGAAAAGGAATAAACAGCCTGACTTTTAGGGGGCTACAGTCACACCATGTTTATCAAACAGACAAGAATTGCTATAAATGTCTTGCTGTAATGTCGATATTGGCTTTTATGGCTAAAGGTAGTATGGACGGATGTGAAAAGGTTTTGTTATAGCAAGTGTGCGTTCACTTCCTTTCCTTATCCTCCTTCCCCAGGGATTTCTGGCTGATTCCAAGGCCTGTTCTCAGTACTGATTTTGCAGTTTGTTGGTATTTGCCTGCTAAAGAAGGGGGAAGGCTTCAGGTGACTTTCATTCTTCCTGATCATTTTTTAAGGGCAGGTAGAAGTCAGACATACAAAACTTGTTTAGTTTTTGATCTAGACCATCTATGGTTTGGGTTTGGGGTTTTTTTGATATCTTAAATTAAATTTACCCCTACTAGCAGAGCATCGGTGCTCATAAACACAGAATAAATCCGATTTGGGGAATCCGATTTCACTGTGGATAATGATTCTTGGCAGGAGGGATTGCCATGATGGAGTTGAGCTGCTGAGGAGACATTTCTCATCCACTAGAGTGCAGCAGGTGGAACTTTGCATCCTTTCACTTATGTAGTCATTTAGGGACAAAATACTTCCAAACCACCCCCATTTTGAATGCTTCTATGGGATCATTCTGTTGTTTTTGTGTCTGAATTAGAGGATGAAATTTTCTGCATGTGTCTGAATTCTTGACTTGCTAATTCTTTGTTGCTAACCTTTGTCCCTTTTGTTTCATAGGAGACGATACTTTAAAGATATGGGATATTAGACAATTTAAAAAGCCTCTTAATTCAGCGGAAAGACTACCCAGCTTCTTTCCAATGTAAGTACTGTAATTTTTTCCAGCTAGTAGAAGTAGTTGTGCTGAACTGGAGGGAGTCTTCCAGAGTTCTCCACCTCAGTTCTCACTAGGTCCAGAACTGTGTAGAAAGAATTGCATAGGGAGGACTGTGCAATTACAAATTTTGGTTATTTTAGGATTTCACAGTGCTTTAAAAGATCCCATATTTCTGTGATAATTCATAACTAGATTTGCTTGGTTTGTGCCATTTTTCAGTCTCATGTCTCTTATGTCTAATTAGATTAGCAGCTTTTCAGGAGGGCAGTTCATTGCCTTATGTTTGTGTAATGAGATACAGAAGTAGTCCTCATTCTTACTTGGTCTGTGATTAATGAAAAAAGAGCTGGATTGAAAAGTAGGCATAACATAAAAGGTGCATGGTATGAATTCAGGTTATGATGTTAGAAGTGGTGATGACTGTCATCTTTGGTAGTAAAATGCTGTATTGTACTGCATAGTGCTAAGTTCTGTATTTAGTATTTTTATGGGTATTACCTGCATTTCTGTAGCTGTAGCACAGCCAAATCCAACTTTAAGGACAATTTATACTTTTGAAATAAGATCTTAGAAAGGCAGGTCATGGACATCTCAGACTGCAATTTGTATCACAGAGGAAAAGTAAACAGACAAACAATTTTGGCCACTGTATAAACACAGTGCCTTGCATCATCGAAGAATGTATCCTCAGCAAAACCAGATTTCATCCTTGATATATTTTTTTTACTTAATGATGATAACCAGATTTGAAAATATTTTTTCTTTGTTTGTTTCTCATATTGAGAAGTTTACAACACTTGAGCAGAGGATTATTTTGTTGGGAGTAGGATTTTTATTGGATCTACACATTCTGTATTATAGCTGTAATGGTACCTGTGAACTGTCTGATAAAGACAGTAAAAGAGGACAGCTGATAAAAGATTTGTTTAAAGCTTTGTCTTGAAAGCATTAACAAATAGAAAGGATTATTTTTAAGGGGTACAATTTTATCTAAGTTCCTTATGCATTAATTATTGGTTTGTCCAGCATGATTATTTGTTTTTTTCAACAGGACAGATTGTTGTTTCAGCCCAGACGATAAAATACTCGTAACAGGCACCTCTGTTAAGAAAGGTGGTGGCAGTGGGAAGCTTTTTTTCTTTTATCGGGAGACTTTCCAGAAGTTGTATGAAATAGAAGTTACAGATGCGGTATGTATTTTAGTTTTCTTTTGACAACTGATCAAAATACTAATGAAATCATATTCAAATGCTTTTTTTGCCCTTATATGGGTAATGACCTTCTAACACTACTATAATTTTTCTACTCCATTTTTAAGAGAGAGAGTGGTCTGAATAGGTGCTATTCTCCTTTCTATTAAGAAGACAAAAGAAAATCTTGGAACAAAGTGTTTAAGCTACAGGAGTATCTTAAGTTTTTCTCAGAATTGAGAGATAAATTACTGTTATTTTGTTTAAAAATGCAAAAGAGACATGGAGCTGAGAACCAACAGTAGGAAATTACTGGAAAACCAAAATTAGGGGTCAATAGGTGACTTCACTGGGGCCACTCATGTAGTAAAATTCTAAGTGTGTGTACAAATCTCAGCAGGTTCATAATTTTATACTTTAAATTTATATAGGTGCTGATTTTTATGTGGTACTTTTTAAGACTGTAGTAAATCACTGTTGTCTGTAGGGTTTTAGTGGTGCTGTTTTTCTTCATTTGTAGTTATAAAATTTAAGACTGTTGTTCTACTGCTTTGAATATAATAGGTCAAATAAAAGTGATGGAAATAATGGGTGAAGAATTGAGATGTATAAATGCTGGCCTTATAACATAATATTCAGTGTGAGTCAGCACTAATACTACCTCTACCATCAGCCTGTCTAGCTTACAGCTTCAATACTACACATCTAAGCAAAACACAGTTAAGCATATCAACCTCAATCTAAAAGAATAAAAATTACTGTAGGTGGTGTTATAAAGTAAAAGCAGAATATTTTTTCAAGATCTTTCTACTGTTTGTATCTTTCAGCTTTTTCATTAGTGTTCTTTGCTTGTTCTTCTCAAATTGCAGTGTTTCATGAAATATAAACACATAAAGGCATGCTAAAACCAAATAAATTTTCAAGAATCTGGCTTTTTTATTTTATAAGCAGTACATGCTGTTTTTTGAAACGATCATTGGCCTATAAATTGATAGATTAATATCTTGTGTAGTTTATCAGAGCATTTTTCAGCAGTAATTACTTGCTTTCTACAGACTCCTAGTTTCCATTTTTTCCTTATAGTCTGTTAAAAGTGCAGATAGCAGGTTAGTGTAATTAAAGATAAACGTGTAATGTTCTCCAAGTCTTCAGTTTGTCTTCTGCAACTAAATATCATACTACTTTACCTTTTGTACATTATCGAGTGCTTAAATATGTAATTTCAGTGTTTCTATTTCTGTTTTTTTAGGCATTGCATAGATGAAGTTACACAATGACAATAGTAAAAGCACAAATATATACCTCTGTAAAGAGATTCATCTGCTCTCATTTCTCATGAAAATAATTTCAGTGATTTCAGTTGGATTTAGTACAAATTGCTAAAGAAAAAGGGCATCATTAGTCATTTTAAGTACAGAATGAAAACAGTAAGACCTTTTGAGGGCAGTTGTATACCAGTTTAGTGGTAGAACACATATAATCAGAATAACAGAAAATCTACTGTGAAGCGAAAACATAAACTGTTAATGTGTTACTTTTTTTAATTTTCAGAAAGATTTTTAAAAGGAAATGCTGGTAAGCTTAGAAAATTGAAAAACACTTAAATAGCAGTAAACATTATCTTAAACCTCCTTGGTAAATAGCCAGTGCAGTTGGCCTGTGAATGAACCTAGGGGGTAATGGGAAAATATTTAATGGGAATGTTTGACCAAAGCTGTGTCTGGCATTCCTTTCCATCACACGACACAAACCTTTTTTTCACCTTTTCTTTCAAGTTTCCATGGGAAAACCCAGTACTGTTTCAGAGCTGCGAGAGTGAGACCTTGTGGTTTTACTAATGGACTAACAGACTGATTAGTCTCTGCTGCTGTGTCTGGGTATAGAATATTAATTTGCATTTCATTGCCTATATTAGTCTTTTTTGGGGTGGGGTGGGGTTTTTTGTTTGTTTGTTTTGTCATAATCAGTGGCTAAACTAGTGACTTTGTGCCCACTACTGAATGCCATTCCACCATGTAGGCATTGGAACTTCTGTGGAACTCAAGTTTCTCAGATAAAAAGCAATACTTTTTGAAGAAAAACTAAATAAATGTTAAAAGTGGTGCAGACTGTGGTCTCTCTCTCTGGCCAGTAGCAGTGTGCCAGCAGGAGGCAGGGTGAACAGGGCAAATACACAGTGATATGTCTCTGATGATCCCATTCTGCCTACAGTGGTCTGTGACTTAGAAATTTTACAGTTAATAGCACTCAGTGGATTTTTCTTCCATGAGTTTATCAAGGAGTGAAATTACCCATGTTGCAGGTTACTGGTAGAGTCATTTACTTACTGCAGATTAGCCAAAAACTGAGGGGTGAAAACTCTTGCCTCTCCCACTCTAAGGAAGCTGATCCTCCATTTGCAGTACTTCAGCCTTACTGTGGCTCAGCGTGTACAGGTGTGACTGGAAAGCATGAGGGCTTTGTACTGTGACCATTGTTACGTATGCTAAACCATACAGAATTCCCCTCCTTAACAAGAACCAAACTTTAAAAAATCCTGTTATGCACATACAACTTTTTCATAGTTTTTCTGTCTCTGTTTCTTCTATCTTGACAGTATTATCTGTGAACAGTTCTTTTTCTCTCACCGCAAATATCCACAAGAAAATATTTATATTAACTTCCTCAGTTTGAGCATTTGAGGTTTATTTTATGTGAGATTTATAGTTGCATGCAGAATGTTTCTTCACTTAGCTGTATGAGGAGACTTAAATAAGATGTTAGGAAGTATAACTACTGGAACAGAGGTACAAAGTGTATGCATGGAAACTCAGAAGCCACCTCCCTTTTCTTGGGCGGTATGAGAGGAAGGAAGACCTATAACTGCTTTGGGATAAAGTCTCATCTTTTGGGACATCTGTAACTACACTCTCTGGAGTGGAAGGGACATTTCATTGTCAGATGCAAGTCAGGGACAGTTTATTCCTAATTCTCAGTGTAATTATGCAAGTATACAATCTTCATGGGAACCAATTTTAAATAGCTAGTGTATGGGAAACAGAGCTGGGTACATTGGCTTCAATGTCAGGTTAATTTAAAATAGCTGTGGATAGCCACTAGAATCACTCTCACATGTCGATCACTCATCTGGCTAGTTCAAATAGATCACCCAGTAGTTATCCTTATTACAGACAAGACTAGTTTTTGGCAGCAGTATAGCAGTCATTTTCCCCATCTGGAAAGGAGAAGTAGCACTCTCCATTACTGCCAAACAAGAGTGGGCACTGAAAAAGAAAAAAAATAAAGTTGTACAATCACAGAAATTGCTATTTTTAAATGAAAATGTTACTAATTTTTAAATTAGCCAAGATGATGAGATTGTGCACATTATAAAATAAGATGTGCTGGTTTTTAAAATATTCTGCAGGTTTTTGTAGATAAGCAACAATCTAAAAACATGGATATATAGTTGTTTTGGGAAACCTGTTTCTGTTAGGAGGATTATTCAATATTTTCTTAGTTTCTCAATATAAGCAAAAGTAAAATTATTCAGTACTTCTGAAAATACCTCTAAGGGATGTTTCAAGAAGGTCTTCTGAGACAAGCTATAAATAAAGCTTCTTTTTAGATTAGAATGAAAAGGAAAGAAGGAATAAGGAATATGAAACTTCCAGCATCCCTTATGCACAGTTGATATAAGATTGCAGTATTTCTTTCCTTGACCTCAAACGATAGCATTTACTATTTATAAGGTGCAGTAATACAGTAAAGGGCTTTTCCACTGTGGCCCATTTCACTAAGATTTAAGGCTTTTGAATTTAAGAAAAATAAATTCTTTTAACTTCTGGACGAGATCATCATGCTACTTCTGGGGGTTTTTAAGCCATTTATTTTATTTGAAAGGAAAATCCACATTCTCCACAATAAGAAAGTAAATACAGTATTTAAGGTCCAGTAAATTGAAGTAAAAAAAACAAACCAAAACAAAAAAAACACCAACCAAAAAAAGGTGAATCACAGGAATGTGTTTTCTTTTATAGTGAGGTAACCTGTCAGTTTTTATTCTCAGCTTTCATATTTGTAAAGACACTGTGCTCCTTCCCTTCATATATCTTGCTGAAGCATGCACTTTCTTAGAGAGAGCTGTCACTGGAGGTTTGAGAGAAATAAACTGTGCAGCTTTCCTCACTGTAACAGGGAGTGGAGGGTATATGTGAAGGTTGCCTGCCTTAGTTTCCCAATATACTTTAATGAAAGTGTGGCTGTAATTTTAACAGAGCATATGCTTGAAAATGCCCTACCTTGCAATTCCAAGGAAAACAATTTGACACCTTAAGTCACTTTTTCTATTAATCAAAAAAGGAAAGTGTTACTCAGTGGCTCAATTCACTTCTAAGAATATATTTTGTAGCTGTAACTTGAAAGGTAAGTGAGACAGCATTGCTATCTGTATGTTCTCTATTGAGATCCTGCTTTAAATTATTGGCCTCTGAAAATGCTTTTTAGTATATTTCTGGTTTCTACATAGAAATTTGTTAATTTCGTCCTTTTCTATTGAATGTTTCCACACAGTTTCCAAGTCATGTTTCACAAGGGAAAGACATTAGTGTTGTTTCCTCTACTACTATATCCTCATGAGTATTTTAAATCTAATGATAGGAGGTCACTGCATTCTAGATATTCCCTAACCTCCCACCTTATTTATTGTAGTTGGTTCTTTTCCTTGGAAAAGCTCCAGGGGAATCTCAAACCTGCAGATTTTTGCGATTAAGCTTTAAAATAGTTTTTTAATATTAGTATATTTTTATTGTGTGAGCAACCTTTTTTATTTTTTTGATCAGAGCATGCATAGTATCAACATATGAGTGTTAACCATCATTTTGTTCAAAAGAAGAAACAAGGTGGAAGCAAACTGGTAGCATTTGTTGTTCAGCTTTGCAGATGTTTAGAAATGGCAGTGCTAAATCTGTTATTTAATATTTTTTTTAAATAAAGAATTCATCAGTTTTTTAGGAGTTACT